CTGGCTACCAAAACCCTACTGGCCTCCAGCCTGTTAAAGCAGAGTTATTGCCAGCAAAACTGTTGAAGAAGTCTGCCAGCATCCGGGGTTTCTTCTTGAACCATTACCTTTCCAAATACAAAGTGGCTCTGAAGGACTTGCTCGAGATGTATGAAAGAGGAGACCTGGTTTGTGAGGTGGACTTTGGAGACATGTCTCCGGAGGGCAAGTTCACTGGCTTGGAGTCTGTATTCCGTGCTGTAGATTACATGTACATGGGAAAAAACATTGGAAAAATTGTAGTTGAATTACCTCACTCTGTCAACAGTAAGCTGTAAAAACAGAACAATGATATAAATCAGCAGAGAGAAAATGGGCACTTTATGCCTCAGAATTACTAGAAACAATTTAATTTTTTTAAAATTTAGTAATGGATACTATATTAAAAAACAGCATTAAGGTGTTAATAAAAGTTTTGTGTTTTTTTTTTTTTCGTTTCTTATGAGTACTTAAATCAGTGGCTGTAGCATGGACTTAATGGGCCTGTGTTTGATTCTGTCACTTAGGCTAGTGTGAGACAAGAATATTGTTCTTGACAGAATAAGTCTTAATGTAGGGGCAGATTTAGTCTGTCAGACTGGCTTGATAGGACTTTATATACAGTTCAGCTCAGAAAAAAAAAAAATCTTTTAATAATTTTGATTCCCTGATTAAAAATAAAATAGAACAGGACTAAGTAACCAGTTCTATCTTATGGTGGCTCTATTAATCTCCTGAAGTTTCTGGAAAAAAAAATTATTCTCTTGATTGTTTGTCACAAACACGATAATCATAGTTCAGTTGCACCATGGATCATAGTGATACTCCTTGACTGGTTACATAGAGAAATTTCTGACATGTCAGTAATATTAATATTAAGCAACTTGACTTTTTTTTTTTTTAATGATGTCTTTCATAACTATAAGCAACTGTGCAATTTTCTTTTAAATCTTTAGCGACAAGTTGCAGCATAATCTCATTTTCTTGCCTTTTCATTTGCTACTGTTACTGTTTACTGTTCCCCCCCCCCCCAACTGAAGTGGGGTTTTGAGCCATGTTCACGTGTGTTCAGGTCCTGTACATTTTTTTTTAAGATTTAATAAAGTTTAAAAAGCTATTTAAATATTTGTGGCATTTATTCATATTGATACGGTTCTTGCCAACTAGCTCCTCTGTAGATAATCACTGTGTCGTAGAGTTCTTTGACTGATGATTCTTGATGTGACTTCCCATAATCAGGCTGCTACTTGTACCTCTACCGAATATTGCTTCTGCAGAAGCCCTGTTACAAAGAGCAAGGCCATTTTAAATCTACAATCACAGAACCTCGTACGCGTGCTGATGCTCAGTCATAGATTATCTAGGGAGTGCAGTTAAAAGGTTTTGTAAAGTTTTGAAAATTCTTCCTCACTTAATAGATACTGTTAACAGTACATACATTGGGAATTCCAGCTAGAAGTGTAAGATTTTCCAAAACAATAAAATACTTTAAGCTGTGCTTGCTCTTCATCTTTTTTCCATAGCAAATATTTAAGATCTTCAAGGCTGATTTTGCCACATCCTTTGAAATACATACATTTGTATGCAGTTGGAGAGATGGAAAATTCCTAAGATCCTACGCCTAATAATAAATGTAATGATAGGTTGATAATGTCTAGGGGTCGAAGGAAAAATCCAGGGTAAACTTAATTTTGGGACGTTATTCAGGACTGACTGTACATGACATTTTAAAAAGTAACATGTAGGAAAAACATTTTGTTCAGTGGTACAGGCAGTAGAAAAAGTATTTTTAACTTTGATTTAGCACATTCTTATTGTATTTTTTTTTAGTGCATATGTCATTAGAATTGTGTGAGCAAAGAAATGTCTCTTTGGGCTGACTATGGGGTTTAGTCCCACTTGAGAGGATTTGGGGGAAAGGCTGAGTGGCTCGAGTCTTTCTTACCATTTCTGTTATCAAGCTGAAACCACTATGATCAATCAAACCACTATGAATTTTGTTTCCACTAAGGTCTGCAGTTGGAAACATACTTCCTCTTGCCCCTCTAATATGGCAAATTTTGTGGTGTTTTGTATGTTTGCATATTTAAAAAGGCATGTTGGCCTTCCAACTGGATGCTAGAACGATGGAAACACTCAAGGACTGCACAAGATCAGAGCACAAAAAATTCTCACTATTTTGTTCCTAGGCACATGGTTTCTTTTAATCTTCAGAAAAAAAAGGCGGTGCCCTCGGTCAATAAATGCATCTTAAAAAAAAAAAAAAAAAAGATGTTTGGGATGCACTGGGGCAAAAATACAGAAAAAAAGAGCACAATTGGTTACATCTGTGATATGTGCAGAAGAGTTCTTGGATAATAAATTAAGTTCTTGCAGTCAAATGCCAAAACCCATCCAAATGGGTTGATTTCAGACGTGTTGATCATTGTCAGTCCAATAGATTTAGGTGTTTCTAAGGCAATGAATTCCAAATGTTTTTGTGCTAAAAATTTCTTCTTGCAATAGGATTGTTTGGACGTACAGCATTCTACTTTCTTTTTAATATGTTACTTCATATATAACATTGAGTAATGCAACTTCACCAGGCTCTTTCACTCATCAAAATAAGGAAAGAGGAACTGTTGGAAGGTTTACATATATATATATACTCAAATATGACATTTGGTGGGTTTGATTTTGGCTTCAGGCTTATTATTTAGCACTTTTGTACTGGTTGCAGCATTAATAAAAAGTTTTAATTTGTTATATGCAGAACTTGTACGGCCAGTGTACCAAACTTTTAGCTTTTCTGGTGCTTGGGTTCAGCTGTGGCTGCTGGGCTTGTCCTTTTCATCAAATGCCTGTATTGAGCTATAGGGGTAACTCAGGATATGATTGCTGTTCCACAGATGAAACCAGAATGAAGAAGTAATTTTTGTTTTTAAAGGTACAATTTCTATCATTTAGATTGCTGAAAGAGAGCACTATCAACAGGGAGAGAGTGGAAGAAACAGTTCAATGAGGCTTTTCAGCTGAGATTCATCATAATTTTTTGTTTGCAGAGTGAAAAAGCCAACTTCTCTTTATTTAAAGGTGTATTCTGCAAACTTACAGTTATGGAAGCAGGGCTGACTTTGAGTAAGTAAGCTATGATGGATTTAAATAATGTTTAAATATTAGATGGGTAGGAAAATGTATATGGCATGCACACACTGAGAGGTTTAAATGATGATAGGACATTGAACATACAAGGAAAAGAAATACTTTAGAGTCACAGCAAGGGATTAATAACAATACACTTAATATGCTTGCAGAAAAGGTGTATTAAAAGCTGTGTGCACAGTGGGGACTTAAATGATTAAAAATAATAATACATTTGCCTTGGAAGTACTAAGTATACTGTACGTAGAGAGCAGGGATTTAAATAATACTACTGTTAATAATAGCAGCTCATTGAGATGTGGATGCTAGCACTACATCCTAATTTTACCTTTCTAAATGAATTTGCTACAGAGGAATCTGGCATTGTTTGCTGAGGCTAATAGCAGAATTTCCCTTTCCTACACACATATGCTTCTATGGAAAAGCAACAAAGAACTAGATGAAGAGCTGGCTTTTTTCCTGAGTCTGTCACATGTGTGCATACGCACGCGCACATGGACGCACTCGTACTCACTCTCTCCTGGCCTGCAACCCTCAGCACATTTTACAGATGTGCTTTCTACTTGATTGCTATGCCGGAATCTCCTATTTTGAACTGAGTTAGATTTCTGCCAAGCAAGTTTGCTGTGTATTTTTACATGTGCATATCCGTGTGTGTGCGTGTATGTGTATACAAGGTATATATTTAATAAGGATATGAATAACTGCTGTGTCCTGTAAATACAAATAATTACAGTCTCTCAAGGAAAAGTTTGAGGCAATGTTTTCAGATATTATATATATTCTACTTCTGTCTGAGGAGTAAAGAAATTTCTCTGCTGAATAGCTGTTAGTATCTATTTTACAAGATTTACTCATTTTCAGGTACCTAATGTAGCTGCTAGCATGCATGCACGACAATACAATTTATATGGTAAATGGAACCAAATAATGGCTTCACTGAATGTTATGGCTGCACTGAAGGGAAATGTCACGGTAAATAGCTGCCAAATTATGGATCATGCCGAAGTGTCACAACTGCACTAAAGACAAATAGCACTAGAGGCTATTGCCACTGTGACGCTTTTGAGTTATGAAGAAGAGGAGCAGCCTGATGTGAGCCTCTTTGTGTCCTCATTATAGCAAAGGGTTACTGGTGCAGTGTACAAGAAAACCTAGTCCTACTTGGTGGCTAGTTATTAATCTGTTCTTTTCTGATCTAACAGCTGTAGCAAACCAGGAAATCTTTTCCTTGCTTTATGAATACATATACACATACACAAACAAAGAGAAACCTGCACGTTTTATGAATGTAAATGTGTACGGGAAATGACTGGTAATGGAAAAATGTTGTAATAAAATAATCTAATCAAAGATTATTATTAAATTTAATATCATATGTGTCTGAAAGCTTTAGTTGCTTCTTATGCAGATAGATGTGTGAAATATAAGCAATAATGCACTTTCTCTCTTTGTAAAGACTTGAGTAGTAAGGACATTACCAGCTAAATTGCTTCTTCTAAACTGAAGTGTGTCCCGGTTTCTTTCATTTTAATGGGAGGGTAATAAAGATGAAAGACTAACATTTTAACTGATGGATCCCTTAAGCTACAGAATCGAAATTTATTATGTTTTGAGGGAATATACTAAACCCTGACATGTGGAAAGAAGCAGGGAAATCCCAGGTAAAATAAAAGCAAAGTAGCCTTTTTTTTTTTTTTTTGTAATATGACATACTTTTATGAATGGAAAACTACATCCTGCTTTTACTTAAAGTGACAAAACAATATAGGTCTCTCTTTGTGTAAAAAAAAAGGGGGGGACAGATATTTGGAGAGGAAAAAAAAAAGGTTTGAAAATGGAGGGTTATCACTCAGCAAGTGGTCTCTTCTTTCTAGGATCACTTTTCAAACCCTCCCTGCAGTGCTCAGGGAAGTGAGTTCGATGCTCTGCACACTATTGTACACACCACAAACGCACCATCTATAATACAGCACAATTGTCAGTTGCTGTTTTACAGAGGGGCCTGGGCTGAACAATCATGGTGGATAAATTACTTTCCTATTCTACAGCAAGCGGCCTTCCTACCATGTGAAGCTTAAGGTCATTGGCAGGGCAGTGAGGGAGAAGCTTATATATTAGTTAACTCTAATGCACTAATAGTGTTCAGATAGGGGAACTATACCTATTAATTACAGTTAGGTTTGTTCATCGAGAATGGGGGCTGATGAAGAGTTACTGTGCTGAGATACATACATGTATGTGTATGGATGCATATATATATGTTTGCTTTCTTGCTACAATACTCCTATAGGTAACTTATTTTTCTTTTTTATTTAATATCTACATTAAAGCCTTCAATATTTGTCATTGCAAGAATCCAGATTTCAGAAATCAGAAAATGTTCTAAAAAGGTTTTTATACTGTGGCAACACATTCTGCTCACAGTTTTTACAGTGTAGTCTAAAGGGGGAGGGGAAGAAAAAACCTGTCAAAAATTAAGTAGAACATCCTTGAATGGCAAACAGCATGCCCAGAATTTATGTACAACGCAGTGGCAAGTAGCTGCTTCTTATTAAATGAAAATCCTGTATTATGTACTTCAGGAACATTCCAACTAATGAGTATGTAATGTCCTTAGTATAACACAGAACTTCTTTTTGTGTTCACAACCACAAGATGCTGGAAACTTGACAAATGATATCATTTAAGACAGATGCCTGCCTTAGGGACCTGTTTTTTGGCTTCCTGTTTCTGGTTTTTATTTCAATAACATTTGTAATTGCCACAGGATCTGTACCTGTGTAGTGTTTTAACCCCTTCACATATACCCTATTGCATTAACTCCTTGGGTAGGTACTTGGGAATCCTTTCTTTTTAATTTTTCTTTCTTTTTTTTTTTTTTTTCCTCCCCAGCTGGTGTGTTCTGCCTCTCTTGAGCAGAGACATAAATAAAAGCTGGGCTTATTAGACCAGATGAAATGGTAACGTTAGAGGCGTTAAATGCTTACTGCACTAGCTGTGTTTTACTAGTACAAAAGTACATGTAGAGCAGACCCAAGGCAAAACCCAAGAAACTGTATGGCCTGCTGATAAGCAGATATGTCCTGCTGATTCTCAGTGAGAGACAACAAAACTATGTATGCAGCTCAAGCACATAATACTTTGATCTCAGTTATATTTTCCAATGTACCTTACTCTTCCTTAAACTGGCATTCTTTACTTAGGTTATAGGGCAGGAATGTTTTTGACATCACTGCAATTGATGCTGGTTACAAGGGGTGTTTCGGCAGTCCTGGTTCAACGCGAGCTGTAAGAGCCTTCTTCAAGTAAAGCCCTTATCACTGGACTTCAGCAGTTTTCAGCTCCCCAGGTGGTCAGCACAGATCCTGGCAGACTGCAAGAACCTTACCCACAATACTGAGCAGCCCAGGGGCTTTTGTGGTGCTTTATAGCATGTTTGGCTTTTTTGTAGGTTTTGCAAAACACGTTAGAAATGGGCTGTGTACAAGAAGCTTACATGGTTCTGCACAGGGAAGTTTTCACTGGGAAACTTTACTAAATCCTACACAGTGCTGTAGTAACAAATAAGGGCTTGGAAAGAGCAAGAGTTCTTGGCACCTATTCTGCAGGTGAGAATTTTCTACTTGTCAGAAGCACTTAGCTCTCGTGGATTTACAGTGCTTTCTGATGTCATTTCGAAGCAAAAACTTTACATTCAAGCCTTTTGTCACAGGACATGTAGTCTCATTGCACCTGCTTCAACTCTTAAGGCAAGTTTATCCTGTGAAGCGTCAAACAACCTTATCTTTCTTCAGAACAGGAGCTGAGGACTCTGAAAACCTCAAGAAACATCTCTGTTTACTGGAAGACCAGACAGCACATCATACAAACATACCCTCCGGGCTTTCTGTAGGAGGAGGAGGAAGTCTTTATCTTCCATCACAAAAGGGAGGTCAAAAGGACCAAGTGAGTGCCAGGCCAAGTAACTTCTGTTGTTCTAGAGTTCATTTTTGGAGGAGGTAGGCAGGCACACAAATCCCATTATGTGTTATGAGGCTCTGTGCACAGGCTTCTTGTATGCTCTCTTAAAAACCTTACCCTTAAGGGGCTAATTCACAAAGGGAATAGAAGGAAAAGGAAATTTGTATATTTCTGGAAGCAGTAAGACATGACATGCAGCATGGTTCTGGCTGATTACAGCATGCCTCAGGTGAGCTGGGAGGCACGAGGCTGCAAGCCAAGTGATTTCAACCTCCCAAGAAAGACAACCCCACAGAAATGCATTGTTTGGCATGTCTGATTGCTACAAAGGAAAAACACTCCAACTTCATTCACACTGGCATGACATTATTGGCATGACTGTTTCTGGCAGCCTGTTGGAAAGTTTTATTTGCATCCAGAGTTTTGAAAGCCATTTCATGACATTAAACAAGGCTAATGCTGAAAGCGGCTGGGTTATTTGCCCCTTGACACCTATGCGTAATCCCTCATTGAAGCCCTAATGAGAGGTTCTCCTCAGGTTGTGTTACTTATGAAATAACCTCTGCATACAAACAGCATAACGTAGCTTTCCTCCCTGCATAGGGTGTGGCAAGGGTAGCCAGAAGGAAGTGGATCAAGTGTGCTATTTTTCCTGTATTCTCAGTAATTGAGATGCAGAGTCAGTTACTGGATCATTTGACTTCTTACTGAGCTGGGAAACCTCAATCTGCTATCACAAGTGCCTACAAATAAGAGAGATATTGAGTTGGTTTCCCCTCTTGGGAATGTAAATGAGGAGCAAGAATAACGCTCTTGAAACAGTGTAAAAACCATCTCTGAGGAGAACCTGGCCCTTATTTCTCTCTCTGTATGTGTTCATGCTGCTGGGAAAAAAAAACAGTTCTAACACAGACCAGCAGTTCTAACATAGACCAGCCATTTCCCAGGACCTCCAGACGACTCCCAAAGTCTTGGGAAATCCAGCGTGTTCACAGTTGCCGGTGTTAAGAGCTTTGGTAAGAACATCAGAAGCTTTGCAAGTTCTGAGCTCTCTGATGATGGGTGGTGGCAAAGCAAGCCTTACTAAGGAGAAACTGCTAAAAAGGCAACCCTCCAGTTCTCAGGTATTGTTCTTCTCTATATGAATTCAAGTGTGAGGGACAGGTTATTGCCCATCCCTGTTTAATAAACAGCTCCCTCCTCCCTCCCCCCAAACTCCTGTCTTATCTGATAGTTATTCTGCCTCTTTCTCTCCACCTCCCTCCCTACTCCAAATAAAAAAGAAGGGTAAAATAATCATAGTGTGAGAGGCTGCTGGAAGTGTTTCAGGCTTTTCTTTCCCTTTGCAGAAGGGAGGTCAGTTATCCTTGTCTTGTAACTTGACTGTATCTAACAAAGCACATGGAGCTTTGCCTATAGGCTCTGCAACAAAATTTGAGTAGATTTATAGCTAATATATACAAATTTCCATTTTACCACAGAAATAGGCATAATTTTTGTTTTCAAAAAACAAGATCTTTTCTACTGAGATGAGGCTAAAAAAAAAAAGAAAAAGACCCAAAAGAACCCACAAAGAACTATTTCCAAATGATTTCATTTGCAGTGTCTTTCATTCTGTCTGTTAATGCTACAGTTTAATGTGATGAGGCTACTTCTGTTGCGTTTCTTCCTTTCTTGTTTGTGAAAAGCTGACATGTTTATTAGTGAGAAAATACACATCATGGTGAAAAGAGGGAGGAGCCAAATAGTCCCTCTTTCCCACAAAGCTGAATTTGTAGCAGTACAAAACGGTTCAGCAGCAGTTCACATGATATGAACCAGAATTCTATAAGGTGAATGGAGGGCTGCAGATAAAACACACTGTAAAGAACAAAGGTTGCATCTAGAGGGGCAAAAAAGGACACTGGTGTTGGTGACGTGTTCAGCTGACTGGAAGAAAGCCAAAGTTTGTGCTTCACATCAGATAAGTTCAACAAGTAGCAACAGGCTTTTCTTTTTCCCTGAGTAAATCAGATATAGTCCTAAATCTAACAGCAGTACTTCACAAATCTGCAGTGAGAACTAAGAACAGTGTGCTTACTTTCTAGATTATTTTCTTCCACCTTCCTCTCATTATGTCACATTTTCAACTAATTACAGGCAAACACATGGTGGGGAGATGAAGGCAGTGATTTCTTTGCTTTCAGAAATATAGTCAGGACTCCACTTGTCATATATAAATGGCAGTAATACCTCTTAAAGCTTTCTGTAAACATAATGTTGATAGTGCCTTCATGATGGCTGGAGGGGAGTGAACACAGTCATTCAGGCTTAGATTTTGTTAGGACTTCTCAGCATAATTTTGCCAGAGTACAACTGACATTCACACTCATCCAAATGGTGGAAAAGTTTCTCAGTCCCTGAAAGCTAGCTGTACTGTATTGGAGGGAATACAGGGAATGGTACTTTTCCAGTGCTTTCCTATTTATCACATAGTAAGTGGAAAGGTTGAACATCCCCCAGTTGTGACACTTGTACACCAGGCACTGTGCACGAAAGTCTGAGTGATTTTAAAGAAAACCAGCATATTTTCACTAGTAACCTGTCTCACTCCGAGAAGATATGGTCTGAGAGTGCTGTGAGTGAATTAGTCTTTTTATTCAACTCTGTACTAAAAAAAACCCCACCAACCCTAAAACTCAGTCTTATCCTCTGCCCCAGGTCTGCCCTGGTTCTGTGCCTGGCAGGCTGGCTTTGCTCTGAAGCACACCAGCTCTCCATAGCTTGTATATTTTAATGTCGACACTGATCTTCAATCAGGATTGCCCTGGCCTTCCAGTGAAAATATGCCAAAATGTCACAGGTTTCCAAATGAAATGCAAATACTGAACTTTCTGAAATTTACTGATAGTATTTTACCCCTTTACTGCATCTGAGCTGTACCAATGAGACAAAATGGAAACAACGGTTTAAGAGTCCTGGTAGGAAAGGGAAAGCTCTTTGCACTTGGCACTCCACAGATGTCCCAGCGGGATGGCCTGTAACACTTCCCGAGAAGAATAAGAGTCCTCTGCTTGCTCACTCACTCACTCAGCATAATGAAAAGAAGCAATGAACTACTCAAAGTCAGGTCAGCCTACCTTTTGCCGTACGTAACTGTTATTACACACATGTCACAGCAGCAGGTGCAAAATAAATATCTGGATAATGGAAACCATTTTCTTTGCCTTTAGCCACAGGCATCAGGTCTGATTTACTGGTGGCTGGCAGCTAGAGAGCATGGGAGAGCCAGGTCCCTATAGCCAGCCTCACCTTTACACAGTCAGAGATGGGAAAAGACCGCCACAGTGGAAGCTGCTCTGGAGGAGAGCAGGATTTTTCTCACATGCCCTCATCCCCATGCTCCCTACTATTCTGCCAGAGCAGGAAGATTTAGCAGAGCCATGAATCTATGCTTATGCACTGCCCTTTCATCATTTGGACCTCAGTGGATGTACACAATCTGGAGCAGTCTTTGCTCAAGGCAAACAAAGTAAAGGAGGAGAGTGACATTTCAGTCTTTCATTGCAGAGTCATTCAGGTCACTTGCTGAAATTATAGACACCAGCTCCAGCAATGTTAACAGCCAACTTTAGATTATTAACCATCCTTTGGATAGCAGTACATTCATGGTGCCAGCGTGCAGAGAATTCCTCCAAATTATAGGGTGTCCTAACACAGACAGTCAAACCACATGGACCTCTAGATGCAATAAGCAGTGTAATTAAGTCTGTTTTCTCATTTGTACTTCCGTAGCAGCACTCAAAATACACTCTCAACCACTGGATGCTGCTCTTTGCATCAGGCTATGAAAGGAGATAAGAGTGAAGGGTGCCTTAACAATAGCTCATTAAGGAGACCTCAAACATTTTCTCTTATTGCATTATTTATGTTTTGGGTGATAATAAAACACTGTTTCCAGGGCAAAGTGCACTCAAGAAGCTTATTGGCTTGTAGATGGTTTCATTTGATTAGATTTCGAAGGGAGAAGGCTGCAGAAATTTCTTTTACGTGCTTGCTTTCCTGAAAAATGTGGGGGGGGTTTCTTCCCCTCATCAGGCTGTACATTGTCAATGCCACTGAGATCCACCAACTTCGTTAGCCCTTTCAAATATTTATAGGAAAGGCGGTGACTGTTTTCTTGCCTCCCCTAAGAAATTCTTCTTCAGTGCAATGATCACTGGCATCCCTGGTAGAATTGCTTTTTAATATCATGACCTTCTGTGTACAAGCAAACAAACATGAAGAGGACTTAAACATTCAGATTCCTGTGAAAAGATCATAAAGCTGATTTCACACAAAAGAGTCCATGTTAAAAAACCTCAACCAAAAATAATAATACAGATAATGGTCATGAATGTTTATTCCTATTCCTTAAATTATATTTTATAGGTAGTCTAGAACTACATTAATTACAGTCTTTCCTCGTATTCTTTCTTTATTCTCCTACAGAGCCATTCTCGTTGTGTAACACTGATGCAGCACATTTCATTAGCTGTGTACAGATCCAAGAATAAATTTTGGCCTTGACCGTGGAATGTTCACCCACTTTCAAGTGTAAGTAAAAGAACTGAAACTAATTAACTGGAAACTGCAAGTGCTGAGAACTCCTTTTTTATAATAGTGAAATTCCCATCTCTTTAGCTTTTCTTCTGTTCCTTCGCTGCTATAAATGTAACATTAACAACTATTAAAGCTAAAAAAGCAAAAATAAAACAACCAAACAAACAAAAAAGCAAACACCAAAGCTGGAAGAGGCAGAAGGGGTAGAGACTATCAGATATTCCAAAGAGAACATGGGAGAATTTAGGTTAAAAATAGAGGCTATGCCATGTAAGAAGTGGATGCCAAGTCTGCTCCTTGGTATGGAGGAGCCTGAGTTTATAGGCTGTGAAGGGATCCCCGTGTCTGTAAGTAAGAATTAAGAGACCAGACAACAACTAGAAAGAACTGCTCTTCATGCTCTTTCAGGCTCGGAAAGTGTCCACTAAATATGCTGCATGTGGAGAAGAATGGCATCTTGATACTAAATGAGAAAACATTGTTTAAGTAATTAATATCAAGTACAAATACTTTCATTATGTGAAAGAGTCTAGTAGCTAAAAAACAAAGAACCATGGGGAGGACAAAAGATTTCTGATTTTCAGTATCATAGGATTAGTTTTACTGTATATACTATTCACTGCCTTTCTGAATTACAGATCACCGAGATCTCCATCCAGAAATACAATATGCTGGTATTCATCTTGTCAATGATATATACTCAGAGGGCTATTTCTCTAATTGATGGCTTCATCATTCAGTTCAAGATGCATAAGGATAGCTATTGTTATCTAACACTATCATATGTTCCCATTGTTCCACACTTCTCTCCTTGTCAATAGCATCCAAGATAGCCTATCTAAATCTTCAAGATAGCAAAAGGAAGGTGCATTATTTGTTGACTCCACACATTGCATTATTAAACGTTTGTGAGCAACCTGCACATCTTCCCACTGACAATTAAAATCAGACAAGAGAGTACACCAATACAAATAAATACTCAGTTAAATGAAGGCTTTGCATTGAATTCTTAAAGTATTATAATTCAGGTGCTTGCCAGCAGGCACTCAGTTGAAATCAGGACAGTGACGTGAGTGTGAGAATGAACTGTGTATAAAAGGGAAGAAGGCAGATTGCTTTATGGTGGAGTCATGGCAGAGGTTTGACAGGAAATGCTTCTCCCAGTACAGCTAAGCAGGGAAGGAGAACCCTATTATATGGATGAGTGGGGCCGGCAATGGCATCTTGTCATTCTAACTTGTATAAGTAAGCAAGCTTAATTGCTCCTTGTCTTTTCAAGATGACTTTCCACCAACAATCTCATTATCACACACATATGTTTATTGCACATATCCAAGTCTATTCACACAGACCTGAATGCAGTGAGGAGAGTGGCAGAATTACGTTATCCAGTAACACTGGTTTTTCTTTTTTTTCTTTTTCTTTCTAACCAGATGGATGTGACCTGCCTTCTTCTGTGACTAACAGGGTTACCAGAGGCAGTGGAACATACACCAGGACTAGAGAGAATAAAACCAGAGGGGAAGCAAGCTGTCAAGAGAACAGTGTATTGAAAAGGAAAAATGTAAATCATGACTTCTATTTACCATGATTAATATGTAAAGTTAACATGTTTGTCATGGAATATATTAATATGTATGTTTTCCCATTATGTAGATCTTTTCTTATATTACTTATTAGAAAGGGATATAATCACAATGATGGGGCAAGAATGCCACTTAAAAATTAGGTGATGCCCAGTCAACATAATATAACCACTACAGTGTCATTTCTCATTTAGATGTGGTGATATCAGTGTAATTGCAGCTGGGAAGAAATTATAATGGCTGTTAATGATAAATAAAATGACAAGAAGGAGGATCCTCCTTCACATATAATTCCAAGCAAAACTCAACTGCTGACTTCCTTAAGCACTCAGTGCCATTCACTGATGAAGAGGAAATAAACAGGTTTATTGTAGCTGCATGGCCATACAAACTGCACTGTCATTTACTAAGCCTGAGCTTAGACACTATGGGTCTAACAAGATTTCACCACGCTATTTTCACTCAGGGGAGATGTAATAGTGAAGCTCACATGAAGTGAATCTTAACGCAAAGTTAATATTATTCTAACAGAAAGCACTGTAGCTAGCAAACACAAACATAAGCAAAAATAGGGTGAAGGGAAGTGTACAGTCATGCACATGGATACTTTTCAAAGCTCTTAAATACTCCAGCTTTGTCTCTGTAAACATAGGCAGCCTTAACCCATGGATCAAAAGACCTTCCTACATTTGTTTTATATCATAAATGTGTCAAGAATGAGCTACACAAAGCAGCGTTCACCAACTGCACATGGCTTGTAAGCCTAGTTGAGAGCATCTTTCAACTCATTCACACATTAAAAGCCAGGAAACCAACATCTGATTACTAGTCCTAGCATTAAGATCAAAGACCATATCTTCTCATCTGTGAAGAGAAAGAGCCCAATTCTTCTTACTCTGCAATTACAGAAGACTCAAAACACAAAATCAACATTATACTCCACATCCCATGAATAACACAGTTCCAATCTATAAAAGCACAAAGCACCAAGTAAAACATATATACATTTTTTTTCCTAGGCGTCGTGGAAAGAAGATAAGTACAAGCAAATCTGTAGTCACATCTTCACAACACTCCCAGTCTGCAGCCACAGAAAGCTGAGTCTGCTTGATCCATGGGCGTTATCCTGCTGTGTAAAATTATGACACCTCTTAAAAGGGAAAATACCACATACCTGCCATTTACTCTGCATTTGATATATTCTGAATCAATTGGTAAATGGTAGTGTAAGGGTTAAATTAAAACCACAGAAGAGACAGGCAGTGTTGGTTGACCTGTTGTTTCATTATCATTGCTAGGTTTTTAGTTAGCCATTAGTCAAGGAAGCTTAAAAATACAAATAAATAAAATGTCAACCTTAACCTGGAGAATGAACCTGTCCACTTTCAGGTGAAACTGATTTTCTAATTCAGTTCTAGCTGATGCAAACTGGTTTACTGTTGGACACATATAGCCAAAGAGGGCAGGGCAGTGAAAGAAGATAGAAGGATGAATAGTGTATAGTTTTGCAAAATAGTGAATAGTTTTGCAAAATATGGCAAATTAACACAGAGAGGACCCTAGTAAAACTTCTGAACCACCAGTCTAGCATTTTGAGGTATATGGGATTTTTCTCTTTAGTTTGGTGGCCTGTTTTACTACAGGGTATGTCAAAGGAGTGCAGAGATCTGCCAAAACCCAGCTAATTGCTTTGGCTCTCTTACATGAAGTTCATTTGCTGATAAATTGTTACAGACACATTTAGGCAACAGGTTTTTATAGGATGCCTGATGCTCTGTATAATGCAATTAGTTTTATTTAGAGTATGCTTTTTCTTATGCATTGTGTTCTTTTGCTGGCAAACAATAACGATGAAATCTGCACCCTTCAAGTGACTGAATCTTCCCCCATGTTTCCTGGATTTCAGCTCTGTTTTTGGAGCAGTCATCAAAGGAAAAGGCCTACCTAGTGTTTAGTAACAGGAATTTTATTTTAGTGCCTGTTTTATGTTTGGGAGCGTTAGAAGAAGAGAAAGTGAGCTGGGGTGGATCTTATTCATTTGCCAGCTTCACAAAAGATGCTCAGAACACTTTATTTTAGAAAGCAAAGCACCTTGATGTGCTCCAAAGGAGATGCAAAGAAAAGCCTTCCTATAGTTCCTATGTTGAAAGACTCCTTGCAGTAGCTACACGAACATGTTTTGGTAGTTAATGAAAATCTACCAATTCAGACACATCCAAACCTCTGCTCACCAGCAGAGTACCAAGGAGGCACCCAGGGACCTCAGCTGTCTGCCCTTCTTCCAACAATGGTAAGGTTCTTCAAGCAACAAGGTCCTCCAGGTGCATGTCCTTTTCTGCACACACCTAACATCAGGTACTGCAAAGTGTTATGTTCTTAGTTTACCTTTAAGCTGTGCTGGCACTTGCATACGAGATGTCCCTTCCATGTCCCATGTGGGATCCAGTCTGGTAGGCACCCCTGTGATATGAATAACCCAGCCCTGAAAAAGAGGTGATCTGAGCTCCTACATGAGATGAAGGCAGGGAAGAGAACTAAAATCAGCTTTTCAAGGCGTTTCAAATGCACACTTTTTAGAAGTGCCCTAAGCACAAAAATATGGGACTGTTTCTGAACAGGCATATCCCTTTTTGAAGCTGCTTTTCTTGATACAAATTATATTAAGTAGGAGCCAGAACTCAGGCACCCTACACCTGACTGGGGATCATAATCACTACACCTTAAAGTCACTTCCTTTCTCACTAGCCATAATGCTTTCCTCTTGTTTTCTAGTATCTCTGTTGCACAAAGAGCAGAGGCAGTGCTCTGCAGCATGAGAGTCCTGTTAGCACAGAGTTTGAGTCACAGTTTCCTACGCTGGTACTGCTGCCTGAAACCACTTTAAGCTTTACATCTGGGCATCTCTATAAGCACCCAGATCTTGATACCTACTTGCTTACGCTCACTCTTGTGCTTGGTAACACTCACTCTTAGTATCTGCACTTGATGAGGAGGGCACACTTCACCTTCCAGAGCTGTGTGGGTTTTAGCTGTGCAGGTACTTAACTGGCTGAGAAAATGGAGTGCAAGCCTCTTCTCTCCCATGTGGCTGTGCTAACCACTGAGCTAAACAGTCTGTTCAGGTTCACTCAGTGTTCCTGACCTAGTAAATGTTTGTAAATCCCACACGAAACACATCAGCAAGAGACCTTAGAAGAGCTGCACCCCACATCCAGTTATACAGCATGTTGTGACAGCCCTCTGTGGCTCAGCCTGGGAATTAAGGACTACTGTGGCTTTCCCAGGTGAATCAGCAGCAGGAATTCCTTTGGGAAGAGTGCAATTACCAGGGCTGGAGTTTAATCAAAATTAACACCCGGCTCCTGTGAAAACCCCCATCCTTAATAATCACTGCTGGTCAGGACCGTGGTTTTGCAAAGAAACCAAGGAAAACAGCAAGCCGGTGTCCATTGCAGTGATTGCCCCTGGGACTTGGCATGGATTGAGCAGTGGGGAGAAGTGCAGCCTGCTTGCTTGCCTGCACTCCCTTCAGAAGAAGCTCTCTGCCAGTTTACCCCCAAAAATCCTGTCTCACCCCAGCCTAGTTCAGCCTGGTAATGTCCATTGGACTTTGTAACCACAGGCCATAGTACTGTATAATTATGAAAGTACTTTGTAAAAGATTTTCAGTTATACATCACAAAGAAATACTCGGGAGGTCTTGAAAATTTCATGCTTCACTGCTGTTTCCACATGCTCCACGAGCAATTTGAAGTACAAGTGTGAAAATGGACTAAACCACCTCTGCACCTTCCCTGGCCCCATTTTCCTGAGGCAGACCTCTCTAGGAAAAGCATTTCCCTTGACCACTGCTGATCAATGGATATGGCCTGCAGCAGAAAGAAATTGGAACTAGCACTTCAGTTTCCCTGAGCAGACACCTAACACCTTGCACAATCTCTAGCCCAGCCCTCTCTGTTGTAATGCTATTCTTCACTGGGATGTAGAGGACTACCTATGATCATGGAGAATTGTGGGGATAAAAGTGGATTGAAAAGTGTTATTTATAGCTCAGAATGAAATATGATGAGGCAAAAAACAATACCCCTGTTTGAATCTCTGTGTTACATTTAAAGAATAAGCAGAATCTAATGAGCAATTATTATTGTACAGCTCTCTTACATTCCTAATGGAAATGGTTGCACAGATTTCACAATCTCTCCCACTTCCTGAGCCTGAATAATCTCTGCTTTGAAGTACATTATTGCATGTATGTCAGCTTAGATGGGCTAGTGAGCTGGCAGATGACACATGCTGGCAAAAGCAGCCAACTAAACGAAATACGAAGTGGCATTATTTCTCCTGAGTGAGGGCCTGATTCAGCCCAAACATGCCTGAAACATGCCTAACTTTAAGCAGGCACTTAAGTGCCCTGCTGAAGGAGAAGAGGGGAATTGCTTGCATGCTTGGAGTGAGGCATGTGGAGTTTAAGTGCTCTGTGGAACCCCAGCCTAAACTAATAGCATTGTATTTCTTGCTCACCGAGAACAAAAGCCAGGCAGTTTGGGATCACTCTGACCTAGATGCTATCAGAGGTTAGCAAAAATGACTGGTCAGACCTGTCAGGACTAAACAGCTGCATCAAGCAATAGGGGGGGGCAAAAGGGGGAGAGTCTGGGGGGAGGAGGGCACCAGAGTTGCGAATACAGACAGAGGAGCAGGATGGAAACTGCGTGTCCTGCATACGTATGAACGTGTGTGTCTGTGTGCCTGTGTGTGTGTGTTCGCTGCAGCTGAAACTCGGGTCCTACCATTTGCATATACACAGATCACCGGACATCTTTCAACCAACCTTTCAGAAGCAACCTTATGGCACCATGACTCCTGTGCTCTCAGCACTCCTTGGGCTCCATTTCCATAAATTACAGTACAAAAGGATAAGAGCTTGTTAGCAGTCCCAGCATTGTGTGACATACAAAGCGCCAAAAGCAGCATTTTCCTTGCCATCCTGTGCCGCTTTTGTGGACCAGGTGTAGCCCCACTTGCAAAATGTGGTTGTGTGCCAGCAGTTGCTGACCTGATTGCAAAGCTAACTAAAGCTAATGTCTCATGGCAGGCTAATTGGGATGACAAAGTTGGCTAGGTGACATTCTCCAAAATCTCCAGTTTTATTATTTATTTTTTTAAAAATCCCCTTAGAAATTTATTTTCTGAATAGCAAAGTTTTCCTCAAGAATGTTCCAAAATATAGTCAAGGTTAAACACGCTGTGAGCTTATTCAATATTTATGATTCTTTTTTATTTGTACTAGG